TTAGAACCGAATATTCTTCAAACATTCGTATTTGAATGATTTATCCAAAATAGACAAGTTGAATATATAGAAAAGTGTATTTGTTTGATTATTCGAATAGTCGAGTATGAAAAAGACCTTTATTCGGATATTTGCTTATTCGACGAATCAAAAAAACAACAACATATGAAATTTTATTCAAATATTCGATACTACTTTGCAAGGTTTCAATAACTTCGCAGGCTTTTGTGCTTAACCGATAGACAAAAAAAAACTCTGTATGAGATCTCACAAAAAATTTTGAAGTTATACTCCTCTCGCTTTCGCAGAATTTTTTTTCGCTTTCGAGAACTTTTCATAAAGCGCGCAGAGGTTTTTGGTCTCAAGCTCTCAGCCTGTCTCCTTTTAGTAACAGTGACGAGTGACATGAGTTTCGTATAACAGGATTTTCGATAGGCTTTTTCTTCCAGGAAAACGGAGGAAAATATAAGTTTAAGAAAAGCGAATTAGAAGGCCAAATATGATTTTTCCATCGTAAATTGATTTCACAACTGCAGTTTCATCTTTTTGCTATATATTGGTGCCTAGTATTTTGGAAATTCCAAACAGCGTCCATAGCGTTTGCTTTGGCCAAAGAAAACGACACAGTCCTCAGAGCTTGCTTCCGAAGCTTTTTTTCAAGATTTCGAAAAGCAGCGCTGCTTTGCTACTATACTTTTAGAATTTTGTGCTAAATATCTAGGTGAGAACCGGTCAAGATTGCCCACAATAGGACAAAAGAATATGGAACTGCTATCATCAAAATGTGGCATGTAATCGAAGATGAAACTTTTGCAGCCCGTCACCCCTTCATGTGGACTCAGTAGTCGGATCTGATTGCATCGTTGTATCTGTGCCTTCGGAACTTCAGGACCAGCTGTCGCAAACTTTGCTCATGGCAACGTAAACGCCATGGCCTGCCTCTGCAAAAGAGTATCAGCAGTTGTAAAGAAATTGCCATCCAAATAAAACCGATCATCGCTTATAGTACTCTTTATCGCGTTTAGTTCCAGTTTAGTGCCTTCTTCTTCAGACATGATTTCGGCAACCATTTTCTCCTTTTTTTCACGTAAATCATACGATTTATTCATAATCAACAATGTAAATACTCTTTCCAGTCGACATTTGGGCCTCTTGATTTTTCCATAATGGTCCCTGCGTTGGAGCAACTTCACCGGTTCCAGTAGTGCTAATTCTATTCCTTTGCCATGCGATCTTGCAGAGGATAGAGGAAGTTCGCGTCAGTGATAGAAAAATTTTATCTCTTTCATTACGTGTGCGTCCCATTCCTCAGCGGGTGGCGGTCAAGATGAACGATAGCATGTGCCAGCCGCCAGCTGGGTACTGTACGCGGTGCGCTGATCGCTCCGCCCCCTTGTTAATTAGCCTAGGAATGCGTTGTAGCTATTGGAAAACTCTCTAATACTTCGTTCATGCTCCTTCAGTTGGTTGCAGTTTGGATAACGATAGATTTCAAAATTTCAATTAAATTGAAAATCAGTTTTCAGATCATTTTTTATTATAAAATTAGTGTGTTGTGCACTCTCAAGTTTAGTTCTAAAAGAAGTCAGCTTATCGAGAAATACTATTATTATTGCTGAAATGACCAACACCATTATCTCTTTTATCTGAAAAGTAATTTTGAAACCCTAATCGTAGCTAAAAACAGATTTCATTGCGACGAGAATTCAAAACAAGCACTGTAGGCGAATTTTGTTTCAAGCAAACTAACTCATTTTGCAAATATGCGGTCATATCACATAAATTCTTTTATTTTGCTTTCAAAAACTGCTATCCTCAATATAAATCGATCTGTAACTCAATCGAAATTGCGTGTGAACCAGTTGCGAGATGTGAGGTCACTCAAACGATCATGCCTGAGGTGGTCTAGATTGATTTCACACTTCAAAGTTGGTTATCCAGGAGTCACTCGGTAATAAAATCAGCAAATCTCTCGAATTTTTTCACGACCCACATCAGCTGTTCATTGATTGCCAAAAAAAAAGAAACAAAAATTTGAAACAGGATTCTGAAAATAGTCAAGCTTCACCCTAGCTTGCAACAAGCTTATATCTCACTATGAAAAGTTATTTTTACTTGACAGTATTGTCCGAGAAACTCGCCCGCGCAGTAGGGCGGAGCTTCGAGCGAACGCCTTATTGCCAGTTCATGACCCCGCGCGCCACTGGTACCAGCTATCGTTCATCTTGACATATACCCTTCCTCAGCCACGAAGGTAGGTATATGCAGCTGCGGATTCAGCCTTCGTGCCTTTCCCCTCAATATTTCATAGCCGATTCGTAGCAATGCAATGGCATCTCCGACTTCCATTTGCACCTCGCTAGTAAATCCAGATTTGAGCGCATAGATCTTGCCTCTTTTGATTGCTATGGGATAATATTCCGCTCACTGTTGCACTTCTTTAATTCTTCCGCGAGCTTCTCGGTGGTTTTAGTTTTCCTTTGACCCTTGACGACGACGCCTAATTTGGCGTGGCGGCTCTGGACGCGACTTTGCACAACACTTTCAGCTTGGGAAAGTTTTGTGATCATCATCAACGAAATGTAATGCTGTTTTGTAAACAACTACAACCACCTTCCTAGACGACGGAGTCTACAGTTTCCAAGAGTGCGAAAAGTTGGAAAAAATACTGCTGTGAAAAAAAAATACTAGATCTGAAAAGGATAGAATTTTACAAGGGTTGTGGGCCACCGGTGGTCCACATCGTCGTCAGTGGGTTAAGGAATGGTGGAATCTCACTTTGTTGAAATCGTGTTGTATTTTAGCAGGGTATTATTTATCGGCTGATTGCGATGCACCAAAATTGTATAGGCTAACGCGTGTTAACGTTGCCTTATACGAAACAGCGCATGACCAGACGTACGCAAAGCGTGCTCGTGTCTCCGTCGAGAATGAATGATATGGGGGATAGGGCAAAGTGATATTTAGCATAGTGTATCGAAAGGGCCGGGCGAAGCCGGGTATGCCAGATGGTGCGAGGATAAGCGTGAAATTGGCTGTATTGTCTACTCACAAACTAGTGAACAAGTGATTAGAGGTGTTAGATTGCATCCGCGAGCCTCGGGACCTCACCGCGTTTCCCGCTATCCGATATTTTTTGAATTGGCGTTACGATTCGTTATATAATAGATAGATTCAAAGCTGAGGTTGCGTGCCAGACTCGTACACACTTTTAATTTGATGAAGAATCCCAGCCGAAAGAAATAATTTCAGCCAGGTTACCTACCGATGCCGCATTGGAAAATCTTTCTCCGTACCTCTGCGCTGTTGAAAGGGGACAGGGGGAAGCTATGACGAAAAAATACCAGCAAATTTCAGTACTCTTTTTATTCCAGGTTACGAGATCATTGCTATTTGAACGTAATCAATCGCAGCAAAATTTGCTTTTGTCTTTTATCTACATATATACAACTATTACTTCTTTCTAGCTATCATATGATATACAATCTGATATACAATGTTCCTCTGTCAAAAGCTAAAAATGAGGAGAACTTTTGAAAGAGTCTGCTCAACACAAGTAGCAAGTACACAAGGAAGGTGCACAACGATTTGAAAAGCTTCAAAGAAACTAATCTACATTTCACGAGACCACAGCCAACTCGAAACTTTACGAGCCTTTTTATAACACATGCAACAAAGAAGTTATTAAGAGTATTTACATTTTTTTTGTACAGCTGCTTCGCAGCTTGCCAGATCTATTCAAGAGAAGCATTTGAATGAAAATGGATCACTCACTCATAAACCAAGCACGAAGTCAAAGCAGTAATATACATATGCCTTTTCATATAGAACTAGCTGGCGTACCCGGCTTCGCACGGGGCCAAACTTTGCACACATACACTTCGGGGCAGGGAGCGTGTCATAGTCCACTTTTCGTTATCGATCGATGTCGATTTTACCGATTTTTATCGATTTTTTTGCAGAGTTCACCTACAGGGCTAGGAGTTGGCACAGGGGGGGAAGTGAGCATGGGGATTCCGAATACAATATTAGTTTTCAGAATTATCGATTACTTTTATTGATTTTATCGATTTTTTGTAAATTTTGACATGCGAGGCTGGGATTTTGCACAGGGGGAATCGAGCATGCTGATTACGAACACAATATTAGTTTTCAGGATCGTCCATTACTTTTATCGATTTTATCGATTTTTTTTGTAAAGTTTGACCTGCGGGGCTGGGAGTTTGCACAGGGGGGTAATCGAGCATGCAGATTACGAATACAACATTAGTTTTCAGGATCGTCCATTACTTTTATCGATTTTATCGATTTTTTGAAAATTTGAGCTAGGGGGCTGGAATTTGGCACAGGGGTGTAATCGAGCATGCTGATCACCCCCCTTGGGGGTGATCAGCATGCTCGATTACCCCCCCCCCTGTGCCAACTCCCAGCCCCCTAGCTCAAACTTTGCAAAAAAATCGATAAAATCGATAAAAGTAATCGATAATCCCGAATACCAATATTGTATTCGGAATCCCCATGCTCGATTACCCCCCTGTGCGAACTCCCAGCCCCGTAGCTCAAACTTTGCAAAAAAATCGATAAAATCGATAAAAGTAATCGATAATCCTGAAAACCAATATTGTATTCGGAATCCCCATGCTCGATTACCCCCCTGTGCCAACTCCCAGCCCCGTAGCTCAAACTTTGCAAAAAAATCGATAAAATCGATAAAAGTAATCGATAATCCTGGAAACCAATATTGTATTCGGAATCCCCATGCTCGATTACCCCCCTGTGCCAACTCCCGGCCCCGTAGGTGAACTCAGCAAAAAAATCGATAAAAATCGATAAAATCGATATCGATCGATAACGAAAAGTAGCCTATGACACGCTCCCTGCCCCGAAGTATATGTGTGCCAAGTTTGGTCCCGATCGGTTCAGAAATAAAAATTTCTATTCCGCACATACGTACAGACATACAGACAGACAGACAGACATTCAACTTTATATATAAGATATGCAATTTAGACCAGATGTGGTTTGGCTCAAAGCTTTCTTCTGCTCCAGTCCTTCGGATGCCAGCGAAGCTTGGTGGGATCAATGCGTACAGTGATTTTATCGCACATTCTTTTGTATGCGTTCTTTAACTCATCGGTTATAACGATCACATATTGTCCGCGGTAGTATTTGTAGAGATTTAGATGCTGAAATGAATACGATGCATAGTAGGAAATCAGAAATACATCCAAAAAGAGCTAGAACAAAAAGAACATTACAAGAAAATTGAAATAAAACCTTTTAGATCAGCTGTATAGAAATTAGCCATCGTATACAAAAACAAAAAAACATGAGAAAACAAAGCTACCTGCAAAGTGGAAATGACATCTTCTTTTCTGATCGATGTCATTTGCGACAAATCCATAACAGAAATAGCACGCTCTTCCCCTGCTGCCACCTCTTCTTCTTTGAAACGCATGAGCTTTTCTATTATAGTTGCTGACCAAAAACTGCGATAAGACAACTGAAATGACAGTTGATAGCATCAATTTCATGTGATAAGAGTAAACGCACCAAGCCGAGATCGGAGAGAGGTTTTTCCGGTGAGCCAGTCTTTCCTTCCACTTTGGATAGCTCGTAACTATAGAAAAGCGATAAATTACTGATGTTGACAATGGAAAAAATCCTAGTAAAAAAATAATTGATCTCACCTGAACTCTATCAGCAATCGCCCATAACCCATCTTCTGGTATGGAGGCAAAACCAATATACAAGCCACATTGTACTCTTCTGCTGACTCTTTCTCCTTTAACACGAAAATTTTGTGTAGAGCTATTAACGCAAGAAATATAATACCTTAGAAAAGAAGCCGACGATGTGGAATCCGCGGTCATCCAGGAACGCAAGAACATAAAAGAGAAAAGGATCTGTGTCGTAGTACAGAGTCTTGTGATCAAGGAATAATTTCGCCAGCAAACACAAGTTCTGAGCGTAGGCCTAAACAAAAAAGGTTGACTCATTTCATCATTTCATCACAAAAATTCTAAAAGATGTCAACTCCAATAATGAAAAGGCAAGTTGAGAAAATGTTCACCTTATTCTTCCTTCCGTCAATTTCGAAAAAAGATAAATTCTCATTGCGATAGATCTCATTGCCAGGGGGATGCTTCAGGTAACATTTCTTCTGAATTGAGATGTTTGAATGAAAGTGATATATGATAGAATAGATTCATGCACTAACCATATGAGTTTTCAAGCACGTTTGACTTTTTACGTACTTCAAACAGAATTCGCAGATGTAAATACATGGTAAGTGTACAAGCTGCTGCGGATAAGGCGCAAAATACCAAGGCTGTATCCTGTGCCTAAAAAATAGCATTGGTAACTCTTAACGCACTGAGCTGTGAGAAAAAAATGTATTGCTCACCTCCCCAACTCGATCATTTCGATGTTGCGGATTCTTGTTAGAGCATCCTCACTGTGACCCACCATCGACATCGATCCCCGCGTGCTTGGGGCTACATATGAAAATGACTTCTTTCAGGAAAGAAGAATTCGGATAAATAGGTTGATTAGATCTTTTGCGTGAGTTGATAGGCGAAAAAATGCTCCATAACTATGCTTGTAGTAGGATTCTACCAGCTTCTTCTTTGTAAACCAAAAGTTTGCATAATTTCTCCATCCCTCAAAATTATAATCAAAAATGCTCATATATATACAACTGGCACAGCTAAATGCTTGCTCTTTGCCCCTGATATTGAGTTTGTAAGCAGCATAACAAGCAATTTTAAGAGAAAACACTAAATACCCTAATTAAGAGCTGTTTGTGAATTCCGGATTCAAAAATTTTTTCAAAAGTGATCTCATTCCCAGAAGTGTTCTATTAGTACACTGGATTTTTATACAATTTCGGCAGATGCATTAAGCACGCTCGAAATAATTTTGGCAAATGCGTTCAACAGAATACAAAATTCGAAACACGTTATTATAAACCTCCATTCTGTCCAATTCCGTCCTGACTGTCCTCATCCATGGTGGCCGCCTTTCTTTTTCGCATTGCCGCGCTTTTCTTGCTCATTTCACGTTCTGGTGACGCTGATGCCGATGTGCTAAAGAAATCCACCTATAGACTCAACACTAGCACAGGAAAAACTAACCTTTCCACTGCTTGAACGACTGATCCTTTCTTTCCCTTCTGTGGCATACGCAAAGAATCAAGATTGAGATTTTCAGGGCCAACCCATTCATCGAGTCTAAAATTAGATGATTAAGTTACTGAGATTCACTGTTACATAAATTAAATTTTCAGAGAGACAAATTAGAGAGAATGAAAAGGAAAAAAACAACTGTCCTACCTTCTGTTGCAATCGATGTAATGCACATAGAAGCGATATGGGTCAGAGCGAACCAGCAACACCTCTGCATCCCCTAGAAGCAATACTCTTAGGCCGTATCCGGATTTCACTTCGGTCAAATGATTGCTCTACGACCTAACCATAAAAAACCACAATGAATTTTACGGCACTAATTATATTTCCTGATGATAAAAATAACACACTGTATTCATCCTGCGTGGTCATCTTCACCATAAGTCGGCATCCTTCAACAATTCTCTCCAAACCAGTATGGATCGTATTCTCCGTTGCAGCATGATTCTCATGGGTCAATGCCACCATTCTTCAGTATTCATATAATCAAATCAGTAGTCAGTCTTTCACTGCTCAATATATCAGCGATATAAACGCCTTCTCATCTTTCCACACAATTAAGTCACGATTTATTATGCCAACACTACGAAAAAGATAGAAGATAAACAAAACAACACTATTTCTACCAGTAAAGGGAAAAATGCTTACATAAGGAGACTCTATAAGGTATTGCATACACAAACATAACTGAGAAAAAAGTGTTAGACACAGCGCAGGTTGGCGATTGCTGGGAAAGGAGGAGAGCGAGAATAGGAATATGAGGAAGAGGAGCGGCAATATGACCTCGTACTCGAAGCTGATTTTCCTGTTTTTGATTAATCACGTCTGATGTACGAGATCTTAAGCAGCAGTAACAAGCAACAAAGTGACAGAAACAAAACTAGAACTACATAAACCGGATAGGGAGTGATAATTACCGGGATGATAAAATAAGTAAACACCGAACACCTTTGAAACGGGCTAAAAAGAATAGAATACTATACAGGGAACTTTACGGGAAAATGAGGTAGAGAGTACTAAAAGAGTAGAAAAATCGCCGTCTTCTTCACTCGATGACGCCACCTCCCCTTAGGCATCGCCCTCTCCCACCTGCGCCTTTGCCGCTGGCGCTGCCAAATCCTCGATCACATCATCGAGCAGATGACGGAACTTGTCCAAAGCAGACTGAGGGATAGTTATCGAAGTACGATAGCCGGTTGGCTGCTTCACCTAAAAAAAACCCCAACATGCAGAGTAAACAAAAACAAAAATCGATAAAGAAGAAACTAACCTCAGTCACGCGAACAAACGTTCCGCGATCGTTCTTTCCTACATCGAAGTAGAAGGTCTTGTTATTATCCGCGGTTAATTGCTTGGTCTTGCTCGCGTCCTGAAGCATTAATCTAGTTTTACGGAAGTGACATATGGACGAAAAATAAGATGAAGACTGCGACTCGCAGTACCCATGACAGGAATTAAACTACAACGCACTGATAACACACTAGCGACGTTGACGACTGACTTTCTCACGATGGAAATGCAACTCACTGTGTTGTTTCCATCATTCAAGTAACCTTCGGAATATTTTTCCAACATCTCATGCAAGGTGTCTCGCATCTCAACCATTCCCTGAGCTGGGATTGCAATCTGAATGAGACGGGGGATAAATATCAAGTGAATTTGATTGTCATCATATGTACCTGAGCACGGCTCATGCGCGGATTCGCGACTGTCTGTGCAATACGGAGAAAGCGCCCGCGCTGATTCTCTTTCAGATCTAGGTAATAACGCCTCGAATCGAATGCAAGCACCTCAGACTTGAGTGCCCCATTCTGGAAAAAAAGCAGAATTGAAATCAAAATACTCTGCGAGCTTGGTTCGCGACAAACCTCGGCAGTCGCCTCAGTCCCCTCGGGTAATGTCTCACTGAACTTAATCATTTCACCAAGCTGCTCACACAACTGCACCGCAGCTGTCATTGTCAGCACAAGGCGCGACTTGTAGTTCGATCCCATCTAAAAAAAATTCAGTACAGGCAATTTTTACATTAGTGCTAGCAAGTTGATTATTCATAGGTCCCTGTCTCAGAATATTATTAATTTTCGATCTTTGAGTCCAGAGATGATCTACATATCATTCAGCACTCTGTTTGCTATACCGAATACTTCCAGGCTTTTAAAGTTGAGCAAATATGAATATGTGCAAATGCACACAACATCCATATCGCGCGTGCCATCGCGTGTGCTTGATTACGAGCGAATTCTTTCTGAGAAGTGCCCAAAGCGCCTTCTTTAGAGTTTCCTCTTTAGAATGTAGTAGAATGGTTTAGCGAGATAAAAACTTGAACAGCCCGCGGATCAACGTTCATGCGCAATATGGACGGTATGTACACTGATATCACAAGGAAAGGGAACTAGAATTTATGTTTGAATAAAAAAAAAAGGGGGGGTTGCGCGCACAGTGTTTAATGTGATAGGCATGAAAATGTTGATATGAAAGTCTAGTGAAAGTAACTGATGTGTACTTCAAGAAAAAAACTACTTTTCAAAAGTTAAAACTCAGCGCAAAGCATATCCTGACCTAGGGCAAAAATAACAGACGGGACTGCATAGAATTAACGTAAATGGCGCTTCTCCTTTATCTGCAACTTTGGCCTGAACTGGTATCTCACACAGAATCTCAAACACAATAATGATAATGAGTAGCACACCTGAATAATTGAAAGCACTCTTGAGCTAAATTCTTCGATTCTGACAAAATGAAATAAACAGGAAAGTGCAGAGTATAAGTATTGATCGGCAAGTGACCTTGCGCGAACTGAGAAGCCCGCGTCTGAGTTAAATAACAAACTTGAAAATAAATGACCAACCTCAGCAATTTTGATGAAACGTCCACGATTGTTTTGTTTGACGTCCACATAATATCTCTTGTACTGAATGTTGAGCTGCTTGCTCGCCAATTCTTCTTCGTTACGTCTGCTGCCAGCACGTTCCACACTTCCGTCCGACATCGTCCACTACTGTTCACTTGCGCTTCACTTCACCACACCACACACACTTCAATTACCCCTCCGACCACTTTCTTCAACGTTGATGGTAAACCAGCAAGCCCAAGATGAGCTGTTCTCTTCGAATCCTGAAAAAGAGAATTTCAATATGAATTTTTATCAACTCAGAACGCGTTAAGGCCACTATGTACGTGGCAAAAGTTGGAATCCCTACGAAAAGCTACTCTTAAAGAAACTGCCACCGAAACAGCTTGAGATTCACTTGAATGACGACAAAACTCTCAGAAGGGACATTTGCTACACTTCCAAGCCCTATTTCAAACTGTTTAAGCAGTATGATGTGGTCTCACGACATTTCGAAACAATGAGGAGAGGGTGCACGAAAAACAAGGCTACCCGTCACGACCGAAGCAGAGAAATAAAACGAACTTTTTAGGCTGGCCGCACGCGGACCGCGTCGTGGCAGCCGGTCACAATGCAGAGTTGTAGCGTAGAATTTCACAACTCGTAAACATCTCGTATCGATCGGCGGAAAAAGAGAGGAGACAAAAAGCAGGAAACAGGTGTTAGCAGTTTGTGCCGAACATCGTTTTTCTTTTTAATCGTACTTTAATGGAAAACTGGTGTCCAGCTTAGTTTTCATCTAGGATAAGGAGCGATTATACCCACAAGTCAAATATTGTTGAAATTTCGTAAAAGGGAATTGCGGAGCGGTGAAGGTAAAGCTGTACTTGTATAGCCCTTTCTTAGTCGCGAGGTCGACTAGGATATCTCTTGTAATCTACAAAAAACTTAAATAGCATTTTGCCAGGACGAGTGACAGTATCGTAAACCCTGCGAAAACGTCTAAGTATACAGTAAATTGCAGTGTATGGATTTTTTTTGCATTTATTAGGTTGTAAAGGATCCGGGGCACTTGCGAATTTTTTTTGAAATCGCTGTAACTTCGAGCAGATTCATCCTTTTTCAGAGTTACGATTTCATTGCAAAGAGAATTTTGTCTACAACATATATTGTGTTGCCGGCTTTTCAGTGCCTCACGGCGGTCCACCAGCACATGCGCAGAAGAGAAAAAGGTCGACGTGAAAATTGGCCTATTTGTGCAGGATTATCTCAGGCATGGTAAGAGCTGGCGAGCTCAGATGCTGTAGTTATATAGAAGTCTGCTGGGGCTGTTATGTAGACTATTCAATTTTTTGTGCGACCACCTGCAAAAAAGTTTTCCCAGAAATGAAAAATCGAGCATTTTTTGCCCTCAAAAATGCACCATTTTTCGAGCAAGTGAGCTTGAAGTCTTCTCGTTTTGCACAGGGCGGGACCAAATCTTTGACTGCTGCGAATATTGATGGGGTAATGCCTTACACATCTTTTGGACCCATCATTCAGACGCGGCGATCCCGCAGAAGCGACATCAGCAGCGAAAAGAGACGCAGTCAAAGGCAAGTTCGACAGCTTGTAATTTCTGAGAGCAAATCGCAAAACTCGAGTGCAGCTGCTGTTTTGAAGTTAACAGGTTCCTTAATTAGATTCACGATTTGGACGAAATTCTTTGAACTGCACAAAAATATGGTCGCAGGAAGAAATATGAAATTGTTGTGGTTGGAAAGATTTCCTTTTTTGACCTGCAGACCAATCACGTTTTGGCACCAATAGAAATCAGAAGCGGTTTTGAAAAGTTTAGGCTTCCCTCTACTGAACAGAGTACAAAACTTGGTGTCAAAGTCCAAACGAGCCCCATAAAAATGAGTCAGGAAATGGAATTTCCAGAATTGCCCCGAAACTTTCTTTACAATCTAATCTTAGAAAGAATCGAAGCCGTGCTTCTACTTTCGAGGATCTTGTCATATTCTTCTCCAATACTCTCGATTCCGGCTTTACCATCCCCCGTATCCAGGAAAATCCGTCTCGAAAGGATGGCTAATGACCGGGAACCATAGGTGCGATAGAGGGAGCCCCCCCCACCCCCAGTTGAAAGGAATCTCGCTAACCTCCCATTTAAGAGTAAGGGGTTTTTGAAGCCAGGGGCGGTATTTATCAATCTCCTATATAGGAGATTGATAAATAGCGCCCCAGGAAGCAAAATGCCCTTTGAGCAACAAACTAATCTGAGACCTGGAGAATCGATGTAAACCAGCAACTTTTTTCTAGGTTTTCTGAGTCGTGAATGAGGGATTATATTTGACCGATGTGTCAACCGATTTAGTGTCAACCGATCTCGTCTCTCTTCTGCTCTCTTATCTCTCTGTCACTAATGGAAACGAAGAAGTCTGCGTAAATTACTGAAGACTTGCCCTGTAAAATAGACAAGTAATCGGCGGTACAATACCACTCTCGGAATCTGCAAAATTTCCGGGAATACCGCGAAAGTCAGCGACATTCCTGGAATTTCGCGAAATTTCGGGATTTACGCGAAATTTCAACGCGAATCACGCAAAATTACGCAGCGCCATAACTTCCTTCGGAATGAATATATTCTGAATCCGGAAGCAGCATTGTGTTAAGCTCGTCAAGGGGAGCTCGTCTTTCCGTATGCAGCATGTCCTCGATCATCCGTTTCCAATTTTCTCAAATTCTTCTGCGGAGTCCTTTCGCAAGGATGTAACGCAGCGCCTATCCAACGTAAAAGAAGCCTGTAAGTAGTATTCGATAGTACTCCTTCTGTAGATTACGGAGCGCTATAGAGTAGCCGCAGACTTCTTTTCAAAAGAGATAAAAGCGTTCGTGAATTCTGGAAAAATCGCGCGTTTCTAAATTCTACTCGCCGTAGCTTCCTTTGGAAAAAACACATTCTGAATCGGAAAGAAGCATTGTGCTCACTTTCCAAACCTAATCTTTCTATATACAGCATGTCCTTGAAATCTTAATTTCAGGTTCTGCAGTCTTTCTGCGGACGGCTGTTCGCAAAGGTGTAAAGCAGCGCGCAATGCCCCTAGTAGATTCAAGCAAGCAAATTTCGATAGCACTTCTTCTGTAACTATGGAGCGCCAAAGAGTAGCCGCAGATTTCTTTCCAAAGCAAATAGAAGGGCTGATGAATTATGGAAAAATCATGTCGTTCTGAATTTTACTCACCATAAAACTAAAATATGAAGCTCTCTTTCTGAGCGGATGTGATTTTCGTAATCAGCAGGTCGGATAACCTCTATGAGCAAGTTTTCCAAGATGTTCGGCTTATTTCATTTTTCCTTGTTTTACGCTCTAATTAATGCTGGCCGGTGAATTTTGGTTAAAATGATGATGATCTTTGATTGTAAGGAAATTTCGCTTATAGAGGTTTTGGATACGCTGTTTAAGAAAATCATGGCCTTTGGGGGAATAAAGGGTCTTTTTGCAGAGATATGGTGAGGTAACTGTAACTGGGTCACGAAATTTCTTAGATTCGCATGCACTTCTCGCGTATCTTTCAGAAAACTTGACTGCTTGCTTTTATGGGTTTTGAACGGTGCTGGTCTCAGGCTCCAGTCTACGAAAATCGCCGAGTTACGAGCCTTTGAGAACACGTCCTCATGAGTTTTGCCCAGAATGTAAAGATCGCATACTTTGTCGGAATTCCACCGCGAGAGGTTGTACAACACGTTGATTAAATCTTTTCATATCGCTTAATGGATCTTTCTGTATTGGATTTGATTATATAGATCTGAGCTCTGGCTACGAAACTGCTTTGATATTCAGTTGAGCAGCTGAAGCACACGCAACCGCCATATTCAGTAAGCGGGACCTTAGGCGAAGTGAACATAATGTTGATGTATAACATAATGTTTGAACTAGAATGTCGTAGAAAACTCACGGTGGATTTCGATGAAGTACGCGATCTTTACATTTTGGGCAAAACTCATGAGGGCGTGTTTTCGTATTCTCGTAATTCGGCGATTTTCATAGACTGGAGCCTGAGACAAACACCGTTCAATAGCACGGTTAGTAACTTTAACCCATAAAAGCAAGCATTCAAGTTTTCTGAAAGATACGCGAGAAGTGCATGCGAATTTACGAATTTTCGTGACTCAGTTACAGTTACCTCACCATATCTCGCAAAAAGACCCTTTATTCCCCAAAGACCATGGTTTTCGTAAACAGCGTATCCGAAAATTTCTATAAGCGAAGTTCCCTTACAATCGAAGGTCATCAACGTACCGTCATTACGTTAACGTTAACGTCATTACCAAAATTCATCGGCGAGCATTAGAGCGTAAAACGAGAAAAAATGAAATGAGCCGAACATCTTGGAAAACTTGCTCATAGAGGTTGTCCGACCTGCTGATTACGAAAATTACATCCGCTCAGAAAGAGAGCTTCATATATTAGGGTTATGGCGAGTGAAATTCAGAACGACGTGATTTTTCCATAATTCATCAGCCCTTCTATTTGCTTTGGAAAGAAACCTGCGGCTACTCTTTGGCGCTTCATAATCTACAGAAGAAGTGCTATCGAAATTTGCTTGCTTGAATCTACTAGGAGCATTGCGCGCTGCTTTACACCTTTGCGAACAGCCGTCCGCAGAAAGACTGCAGAACCTGAAATTGAGATTTCAAGGACATGCTGTATATAGAAAGATTCGTTTTGAAAAATGAGCACAATGCTTCTTTTCGATTCAGAATGTGTTTTTTCCAAAGGAAGTTACGGCGAGTAGAATTTAGAAACGCGCAATTTTTCCAGAATTCACCAACGCTTCCATCTGTTTTGGAAAAAGTCTGCGGCTACTCTTTAGCCGTAATCTACAGAAGGAGTACTATCGAATACTACTTACAGGCTTCTTTTACGTTGGATAGGCGCTGCTTACATCCTTGCGAAAGAACTCCGCAGAAGAATTTGAGAAAATTGGAAACGGATGATCGAGGACATGCTGCATACGGAAAGACGAGCTCCCCTTGACGAGCTTAACACAATGCTGCTTCCGGATTCAGAATATATTCATTCCGAGGGAAGTTATGGCGCTGCGTAATTTTGCGTGATTCGCGTTGATTTCGCGAAATTCGTGGAATTTCGCGGAATTCCGGGAATGTCGCGGACTTTCGCGGAATCCCCAGAATCCGGGGAATGTCGCGGACTTTCGGAATCCCTGGAATTCCACGAAATTCCCGGAAATTTTGCACATTCTGAGAATGGTATGTAGTTAGGTCTTCGTTGGGCAGAAATCTGCTGTTAATGGATTTCGATTCCAGATGAAATGCAGTGTTTCTCTTGGTAGAGGGAAGCTAGAATAGAGTTAACGGTCTACATTAAATTCCTGTTTCCTAAGCTTTCGGATGCTTTAGAGACTAGCGACCCATGGGCCACTAACATTTAGTTGGGGCAAACAGTTTATTAGCCATCAGGCTGTGACCGCAATATCTTTACATTTTATACCTTTTCAGAGAGCTACGTGAAAACACATTTTTATGAGGAAGTCTCGCAGAAGCGGAGAATTTTAAAATTCATTCAATAGTTT